ATGGCAGCTGGATCGCTTGCTTGCAATCCAGCCACCGCTGTAAGCATGCAGTTCAAAGAAAACATCCGAGTTAACTAGAAATAGCTAACACAGGCCGGGCCACCCCAGAGAAAAGGCCCGGGCGAAGCATGACTTCGCAAATCTAACTGAACTGAACTGATTGCTTCTTCAGACCCGAAGATGGAATCGAGGACGATTCCGAAACTGTTGTCTCACTTTCATCAATAAATCTAGTTTATGCATTGTGGGTTTTTCTTCCATATTATCAACACGGTATTGTGTTTTTCACTGCATATATATATATATATATATATATATATATATATAATATATATAATATATATATATATATATCCCTTATAGATGTGTCACTTCAATAAATCTAGTTTTGTGCATTGTGCTTTTTTCTACCTATATATATATATATATATATATATATATATATATATATATATACTATATATATATATGTATATATATATATATATATATATATATATATATATATATATGTGTGTGTGTGTGTGTGTGTGTGTGTTTATAAAAGGAAAATAAAATATAACACATTGTTTTTTATTATTATTGGAACAAGCAGATTAAATATCAAAGATCAAATCAATGAGTATATAAATAAAAGGAAATTTCGATTCTTTAAACGTAAATCTGACCGAAGCAAACCAACAATGTATAGTCTCCTGCAACAGCCGAAAACCAAAAATGCTCTCTCTCTCTCTCTCTCTCTCTCTCTCTCTCTCTCTCTCTCTCTCTCTCTCTCTCTCTATATATATATATATATATATATATATATATTATATATATATATATATATATATATATATATATATATATATATATATATAATACCTTAATGTTTCAACGTATTTACAGAAATCTAAACTGCTCTACGGATAATAATGTGGTCTTAATTGCAGTGAGATAAATAACAAGTTAAATGACAGCATAATCATCAAACAATTCCTTTAGTGTTGCTAAATAGGGGTCAGTTGTCAGCTGCTGAGTAATACATACATAGCTGGATAAACATACATACACATGTATTTGTAAGTGCGTTTTCAGGAGCTGCGCCCGCGTGTGTGTGTGCATGTGTGAACAAAAAGAAAATCTGACATGCCCGATGACCTTCAAGCAAAACCTAAGGAAAGGCGAGGACGCAGATGACCCTAAGCGACCCTGAGCTTCGAGGAGTAGCCGTTCTCCTCCAGCCACTGGACGATGACGTCATAGTTGGCGTCCATCCAGGCGATGTTGTTTCGGACTTTCTCTTCGACCTGCTGGACGCTCCTCTGGTTCCCCTCCAAGGACACGCCGCTCGTTACGAAGGACTCGACCTGAAGAGTTGAGTTCGGAGTTTATTTTTCACGAGTTGAAGGGTGATTTTCATGTCGAGGACGAAGAAGTAGAGGAAAAGGAAGAGAAAGTATAACATTTAATGCATCGAGGGATAAGGCGAGTCACTGTTCCTTGTAACGCAGGCAGTTGGTGGGAAAAGTTGTATTACATGGCGGGCTGAGCTGTGGTATTTATTTTAGCGTTTTACATCAATTCTAAAATAATGAATTCTCTCGCGAGATTTCGGATTTTGAACAATGCATTTGAAATCAAAGCAGCTCATAACGGAGTGTAATAAAGTTATCATATATTTTTGGTCTTTAATCATAATCGTGTCTGTTTGAGGAAAGCAAGTAAGGGCAATCTTATTCTAACCACAGGAAACAGTTAACCACAGAAAGGAGCAACAAATTCATAAATAATTCCTTTCCTCCTAATATTATCATCATTTTTGTTATGACTTTTCCTTTTCTTTTTATTATTATTTCACTATTATCATTATCTTCATTATCATCATTATTGTTAATGTTATCATTATTATCATCATCATTATTTGCAGTAGTAATAGTAGTATCATTATTATCATTGACATTATTATTGTTATCATTATCATTAATATACAATGTATTTTCCTAGAAACTTCATACGCAGCGGGTCCATCATAGCAACGATAGACGCCAGTTTACAAATGCAAAGGCTTCAAGTGTAGACAAAAACGATATAATAAGTACACACACACACACACACACACACACACACACACACACACACACACACACACACACACACACACACACACATTGTGTCGATACTATACACAATATTTGACTTTACCTTTTCAAGTTCCTGCTTTGTATTGAAGGGTCCCGTTATTTGCTTCATTAATTCCCCTTTCCTCCTCTTCTTACTATGTGGAAAAAGGTGTTTAGTTTGCGTTAGTTAATATCATATGTAGCTTTACAGTGCAGTTTGTATTACCGAATTTTTCTGTTTATCATTTTATTATATTTCCTTTTATGAATATATTACTTAAATGTATTAATTTTATAATCATAGACTATCATTACGTTCAGGAAGGTGGAAAAGAACTTACAATGCATAGATATCGTTCCAGTTAAGTGTGAGGTAGTCCCATACCAAGGGGCGTCCC